CCCCCAGTGGCATGGGTTCAACAGGACGAGTGGAAGATGTCTAACCCATAACCTGATGCTGTGGTTAATGCGCTTTCCTGGGAAGTAGGAAATATAGCTGACTCCCTTAAGGTGAGGTGGATTTGGAACCAAGGTCTTCCTGTTTTGAGCTGTGTATCTCTCTGTGTAGATCAGGAGCATCATATTCTGGAGGCAAGATGTGCTTTTGAGGCTAGTTGCAGCAAACACTTAGATGTCTTAGAGGCACAAAAACACATGGTCCCATTTATTTGTTTTGCATTTTATAGGTAATATCCAAGATTTTCCCTTGTCTATAATTTTTCTAGGGGAATAGGGTGTGCCTGAATAGGCTTTCCATGGAAAACAGCTGCCAGGGCTTGTCATGCTAACCATGCAGCCTGGATTTGAATATGGACAGCTTCTCTATGAAAGATCTTTTGCCAGCTTCTGTACTTATTCACACAACTGCAATCCCATTGACATCATTGAGGTGGCATGGATGTAACTGAGAGACTCTGGCAACAGGCCTTTATTGAAGCTTATTCCCCCACACTCTGACTAATCATTGCTTGTTTTTTTTTCTTGTCTTTTGTTTTGCTGGCCTTTCTTTTAAGCGTATTGATATATTTCCTAACCATGGGCACCTTAGTAGTAGAAGGAATATTGGCTGAGATCATGTTTCAACTTAGAGCTACTCAGCCTATTTCAGAAAGAAAAGCCTTGCATAAAAGGGATTGCCTTACTGTTTGCATTTCAGTAGGCTTGAATTTTTGGCTTCACTCTGTTTGGTGCTGTAAAAAATATGACAAAATGGCCCCTAACTATACTGAAGAGCCTGTAATCAGGGCAGATGATATACCACACTGTATGGCGCCAAAAAGGGGAAAAAGAAAAAGAAAAAAGAAAGAAAAGGAAAAGAAAGTAGGGATAGGAGGGGAATACAATACATCATCACAGCATTCAAGTTTCAAGTGTAGGCATCTTAGAGTTTAACAAATATTCATACAAATTGTAAAATAAAAATATTTTCCCCAAAAACAATCACTGAAAAAATCCTCCTTTCTCTCCCATTGACATAATAAAACAGAACATCTTCCCATTCCACATACAGTTTTACCTTTCTCCAGTGTATATAAAATTTCACTTCCCATTGTGTTCCAAAAGGTTGGCTCTGATTAAGATATAAAAGTAATAAAATAAGAAGAAACACACTATTTTTTCCACAGGACCCGACCTACAGAAGTTTTGAAGAATTTAGTTCTCTCTCTAAATAACCTCTTCCGAGGATGTGTGAAATCAATTTTTTTTTAAAGGGGCAACTATAACTCAAAGTGTATTCCTAATATAAACACCAACCAACCACCAAATTTCAAGTCCTTGCTCTGAAACAAAGGAAAGAAAAAAGTAACCTGAATGTGTTTAATATGGACTATATCTATCTATCTATCCATCTATCTATATATGTATGTATATGTATATGTATGTATATAGGGTCCATAGATACGTAGACAGTCCACATATATAATTTGGACTCTCCCTATAGAGACATAGTCTATATATGGACTATATATGTATTATAATATGGACTCAGGGATAGATGCAGGGTGGTTGGGGTGCACTGGTGCATTTGCACCTTTTAATTGCTCCCTTTTAATTCCTGGTCCACCCAAAGTTCAAAACCAACTTCCTAGCAGTGGCAGCAGCATTTCTAGTCAGGCTGTGCTGAAGGATTCACTTGACTTCATGGCTCATTATAATCTACCTGACTCCTTCTAAAGACTTCATTTCACAGATGTTAACAACCCTCTCTCCTTTTTAACAGTCTTGATGTTCCATCAATCGGGCCAGACTTTGTTCTGCCAGTTTGTTCCCTGCTCCTAGTAATGAAGCTCCTATTTCACAGCCCTGCAGATTCTTTTTTACTCATTCCAATGAAGTTAGTTTTGTTTTTGCTTCAATCTTAAAGCTAAATAGTACAGTCCTTGGCCCCTGAAGTATTAGTAAAGCTTCTAGTTTCTTTTTAACCAGATAAAAATGTGTGCTGTTTCATATGTGATGGCACACTTTACCATCTGCATCCCTCTCTTCAAAATTCTAGATTTGCCCATGTGTGGACTATACAGATCTATAGATACCCGCCAAAGAAATATCTATATATTGCAGCAAGGGAGGTTTGAGTTGGATATTAGGAAAAACTCTCTCACTAGGAGGGTGGTGAAGCACTGGAACAGGTTACCTGGAAAGGTGGTGGAATCCTCATCCTTGGAGGTTTTTAAGGCCCACCTCAACAAAGCCTTGGCTGGGATGATCTAGTTGGTGGGGATGGTCCTGCTTTGAGCAGGGGGTTAGACTAGATGACCTCCTGAGGTCCCTTCCAACCCTAACTTTCTATGATTCTATGATATATATATTATTTTGGGAAATGTTTCATGTTTCAGGTTAAATTAGCCAGATCAGTTCAATCCTTTTCACTGAGCAAAAATCAATCGTTCAAACATCATATGTAGCGGTGCAACCAGCAAGTATCCTCCACCCTACTTTTCAGCCTGTGGCTTCAGATACTCCCAAATCCATTGGCAGGCACCCTACGAGCAGGCTCAAGCCCAGAGGCTTGGGGTTTGGATGTCCTTGAGTCTTGCTTGCCTTCAGCCAACGGCCACAGGAACAAGCTAGGGAGGAGTCCCCCATTTCCATAAAGTAGGTGTGTAGCTGAGATCCTCCCACTGGAAGTTGGCCACTGGGAAGCTAATTACAAGACTCGTAGGGTATCATGTCTGCAGTGCATTTGGAAAGGGGTACACCCTCCACTATACAATGCCATTTAAATCCTTTTCGGCTCCGGTACCAGACCAGTGTAGTGACTACACTTGATCTGAGCCACAAAGCTGAGAAGCAATAGATAGATAGATAGATATAGATTTTTTTTTAATTTAAATTTTCCATTTTCCAAGCCGAATTAGCCAAAACAAATTCCAAATCCGAGAGTCACTCCAGTACCGTAAGCGGTCCTACTACTGGCAAACATCCTCCCCCCAACTGGGGCTTCAGATGTTTCCAAAACTTTTGGAGAGCATCCTACTTGCAGGCCCAAGCCCAGTGTTGCGGTGCCCCCCAGCTGCTGGGGGCATTCGTCGTTCATGCGGTCACCAATTGCGACTACGTGCTTGCCACCCCCCCTCACTGCTGACACCACCACGGCTGTCACCGGTGGTCCCTGCTCAGCCCACCCTTGCCGCTGACATATCTGCGGCTGCTGAGCCCTGCTTGCCACTGCCATGGCTCCGCCCTGGCGGTTGCCGTGCACCCCCAGGCTCGGGAGGCACAGGGTGTTCACGGGTAGATAGACAGACAGACAGTCAGTCAGTCCATATAGAGAGAGAGAAAATCTGTTCTTGGAAAGGGCTGGATCCAGCACCCAAAGTGCAGCCTGATGCGCCCGCGTAGCCTGCAGGGCCCCATGCCAGGCGCCTCAGGTTCAGCAAGGTTGCAAGCGACTGAACATGAGGTCAAGTCAGGACAAGTGTCTGGGGGCTCCAGCCCTGCCAGGAAGGAGGCGGCTCAGGAGCCCCAGCTGCCCCCAGCTCCTCAGGGCACTGCTGAGCAGGTGGGCGACCCGGCTGGGCTGCAGGGACCCCGCGGGCTCTCCGCCTGCCCAGCAGCCGGGTTGGGTGGCCCAGGAGGCGTCTCCTGGAGCAGCCTCCGCCCCACCCGCCGCCTGATGCCCTTGACACCATTCCCGGCGCCGTGTCCCGGCGGCGGCAGGTCGGGACCAGCAGCAGCCACCGCCGCCGCCGCGCCCGGCCCCGCTCCCTCCGCCTCCGCCGCGGCTGCCGGACACGTCACGGGGCAGAAATAAATAAATAATCCCCGTGGCAGGGAGAGGAACCGGCGGCGGCGGATTAGAGCCAGCCCCAGAGCAGGTAAAGTACCCGGCCAGGCGGAGGGAGGAAGGAGGCTGCGACCCCGCTCAGCCCCGCCGCGGCTCGGGAGGAGGAGGAGGAGGGCGGCGGCTCCGGGGGAGGAAGGAGCGGGGGGGCTCAGCATCATGGCCCGCGTCTGCTCAGGTGCCCCCTCCCCCGGGCGCCGCCGCCTCCGCCTCCCGCTGCTGCTGGGCGGCCTGTGTGTGTGCACTGAGTCCCCGCACACCCACACACACACGCGCGCGCGCGGGGGGGCACGCGGCCGCCCCCCATCGCACTGACAGCCGGGCCCGCGCTGCCGCACACATGCATATGCGCACACACACACGTTAACACACATTAGCACATACATATGCACACACACATGGCGGCGCTGCGGGGGTGGGGGGAGCGGGCTTTGCAGCTGAGGGGGCAGGAAGGGGGCTTGGAGCCGCTCTCCTGCCCCCAGCCCGGTGTCGGGCGTGGGGTGAAGGGGATGCTGATGAAACAGCCCCACCCCAGCAGGATCCAGGAGAGACCTGGCAACATCTGCCCCGACTCGCCCTCGTTTTGAGGAGCCCGAAATCCCCCCGGGCATGGTCTGATGTGGGGTCGCCCCAGTAACCCTGGTGGTTCTGCTGGCTGGGAGGGGGCTGCATCTAGTAGCTCTTTACCCAGTGCCTTTGGTGGTGCGCAGGCCTAGTGCAAAACCAAGAGGGGTTTGTTCCCTTGCTGGAACTGCCTCGTGTCCTGTGGGCAGGTGGGGACCAACCCCAGCTGCCCTCAGGGCTTCCTCTTGAAAAGGGGTGCCCAGCTAATGGCTAATACACCTATCCCGGGAGGAGGACCCTCAGGGCCTGCGGGGCTGCTTTGCTCGCACCAGTGCGTTCCCCTCTCTGGGTAGTGTCTGAGGGCTCCCTGGACTCATTCAGGTGTGCTCTGCTCGGTGTCCCCTCTTGGCACTTTTGATATGAACCTTTGACATTCACTCCTGTTGCTGTTTTCTTTATTGTTTGTCCCCCGTAATCAACTGCCACCCTTTTCTGTAGCCTCCCTGTCTGAGGGAGGCTAAAAGGTTACATG